CTGCTCTGAAGTTTGTCTCCCCGGCCCAGAACAATGCTGGGAGATTGGCATTTTGGTTATTTTTATGGCTTTAATTCAATTATTCTACAGATTGCCACAGAACATTAATTTACTTTTGATCTCTTTTCTGTCTCATCTCTTTCTCTTGAAAGTGTCATTCTGACTTCACTTTTTTCTCTTGGACCACGTAAACCATTGTTTTTTGTCTTTGACAGGATATATGATATTGTACTTGGTGGAGTGATCATTTGTAGTATTAGGGGACCTAGCACTGTGGCGTCGGGTTAGGCAAACTCTGGCCATTGAATTGGATAATATTTCTCTGCTTTTGGCCACTTGTTATTTGCAGAATAATTGCTCTAGTAAATTTGTGGCAGCCCTGTTCAGAGACAGAGTACGTGAATGTATAAATAAATGAGCATCGACCACAAGTCATCTAGTTAACTCTTAAAAAAGCAGTAACATTCTGAATTTTTCTTGGGCAATATTTTTCAGACTTGTTCTGCTAGTAATTATTCTAGAGCAGTCCTGTTCTACCTTTTTGTCAATTAACCTTAGTAAAGATACATAATTGTATTATAATCCAGTATATATTTAAGAATATGTGAAACAATGGATTTATAAAAACAATATTTTCTTTACTACAAGGGATATAGTATCATATTTTGTATTTTATTTTGTTTTATTAAAAAAAAAAGTCCTGGGTGGAACACATTAAACTTCATCATCCCCTCATAAAATGCTCTGGTTAGAGGATAAATCTAATGTAATCCATGTAGTTCTTCAGAAGCCTCTTTGACTACCCTCTCTTTTTTGCTCAGGTCTTCTCTTTTGCATCTCTGTACTTCTGTAGCCTCACCTAAGTCTGTTTTTTTGTTTCCTTTCTTCCCCCTACCTTTCACTTTTAAAAAATTTTATTATATTGAAATTCAGTTAATTAACATTAACATATTAGTTGCAGAGGTAGAGTTCAGTGACTCATCAGTTGTGTGTAACACCCAGTGCTCACTACATCAAGTGCCCTCCTTAATGCACATAACTCAGTTACCCCATCTCCCCACCTACTTCCCCTCCAGCAACCTTCAGTTTATTTCCTATAATTAAGAGTCTCTTATGATTTATCTCCCTCTCTTATTATATCTTATTTTTCCTTCTCTTCATTTTTGAACCTTCCCACTCCTTCAAGGCAGAGCTATACCTTTCTACTCCACCAGTGCAAATCTGTAAAATAATTTGTGTGGATTATAATGTTGCTTTATTATTTTTTTAAAACTCCGATTGACTGTCAAATTCAAAACAAAACTAAATTACTTCTAATAAGAGTGGCATGTGCAATTTTACCTTCCTTGTGAGTTATTCATAGTAAAAATTTCTCACACTTTTAAACTTTGCCATAAATAAAACTACTATTTTAATACAGTACTTTCAAATTAAAGCAGTACACTTGCTGTACCTTTTATGGCTTTGTTTTATTTGCAGGAATAACTATCTATGTGTGTGGAGGTATACCTATTTAAGAATGTAACTTTCAGAATAATTAGCAACTGCAAAAACATCCCTTAATTCTCTATTTGAGTCACTTAATTGTATTCATGTTATTACTTTAATATCTCTCACAGTTTTTCCTTCCTCTCAGTTCTCACTGCTGCTGTCTTATTCATCTTTCTTCTAGATTATTGTAATGAGCTCCTGGTTAATCTTCCTGAATTCTCTTAGTTTATCCTCCACATAGTGATATTCGGAAATAGAAATTGATCTGCCAGTGACTGCTACATTGCTTCAGTGGCTTTTAGCCACCTGAGAATAGAGTCTAAATTGCTTGGCATGTCTTTTTTAAGGCTCTTAGTGGATTTCATTCATTCTCTTTGACAATGGTTTTAGTGGGGAGAAAAGGGGAGTGAAAGGCTAATGAAAGATAAGCACAAGCTGCTCACTGTTTTCACAATATGTTATGTACTTGAATCCTTTTGTATGTTTCTTTTCTTCTTTTTTAATTTTTTAAAAAGATTTTTATTTAGAGAGCATGAGCGGATGGGAGCAGGGTGAACCAGAGGAAGAAGGAGAAGCAGACTCCTAACTGAGCAGGAAGTCAGATGCAGGGCTCAGTTCCAGGCCTTTGTGATCATGACCTGAGCTGAAGGCAGATGCTTAACTGACTGAGACACCCAGGAGCCCCTGCATGTTTCATTACCTGGAAGTCCCTTTCTTTTTATTCAGTTATTCAAATCTCATCTGAGCTGTTATTCTAGGAATTTGTTGCAGTAGTTCTCTTGGTACATATCTCAGTATATTATGTCTGTTTGTATGTGAGCCTTCCTTATACTGGGATTTCCTAGATAGAAGAGAGGCATCTTCATTTGGGTCTCCTTAGTGTTGGGCCAGGAAGATGTTAGGTGTTAAGTATATGGAGAGCAAGTAGATACACATGGGCCCTGTCCTCACTGAGATTTTCATCTACCAGGAGAGACAGATAATTAAGCAAGTACAATCAAATATGATAGTAGGAGTACAAGATGTTAAAGGCTTCCTGGTCAAAGTAACATTTAAGATGAATGCTAAAGGATTAGCAGGAATTAGCCGATTGGTGAAGAAAAGTAATTAGAATTTTGTCATAGAAGAACTAGCCAATGTAAAGGCCCACAGGGAAAGGCATGTCATAACTGAGAAATAGAAATAACGTTCCTATGGCTTAGGGCTTATATGGTAAGAAATAAAGCTACAAAATATGCAAAAAGCTAAGTCATTAAGGGCCTTTCAAACAGGATGACCATATAATTTATCTTCTGAACTGAAAAACTTTTGGGAGTGAAATGAGGAATTTTTAATAAGATATGCCAGGACAACAAGCATAAATAGACCAGCCTAGATACACTAGAAGTCATTGTGAGTTTGAACTTTATCCCAAGAGCATATAGGGATTCACCAAAGGACTTTTATTTATTTATTTATTTATTTTAAAGATTTTATTTATTTATTTGACAGAGAGAGATCACAAGTAGGCAGAGAGGCAGGCAGAGGGAGAGGGGGAAGCAGGCTCCCTGCTGAACAGAGAGCCCGATGTGGGGCTCAATCCTAGGACCCTGAGATCATGACCTGAGCAAAAGGCAGAGGCTTAACACACTAAGCCACCCAGGTGCCCCAAAGGACTTTTAAATAGACCAGATTTACATTTTAAAAATCATTGTAGCTCTGGTGTAGAGAGTAAATTTGTAGGGAGCTATTGTAATAATTAGGCTAAAGGACAAAATGACTTCAAACAGAAATGGGAATGTATTTGGGAGAGATTTAGGACATGAAAATTGATTAATCTGACAGATTAATCAGAGGTAGGAATTAAGAATGATACCTGGTTTCTCTCTTATTTCAAAGGAAGTCCTAATTCTCTGATATGAAGGGGCAGGGTTGGGGATGTGTTCTAGTCATGATGTGAAATTTAGACATGTTGAGTTGGAGAGACCATTGAAATACTAAAATGGAGCTATTTAGTAGACAGAGTCTAAAAGAGGGAAATAATTAAGGAAGGAGATTTGCATATTATGAGTCTCTTTGAATTTATTATCTTATTCCTTAAAATATATTTTTCTGATTGTTTCTAGGGTTTTATGTCAGGGAACAAATACTTCATGTTTTCCAAAGACTTTATAAAGAATGATGTATATAAAATGTTTTCTTTGGTTTTTCTTTTTCATGGGTAGGAAGTAATCCTGAACCAATGAACAGTCATAGAGCTGCAGGATAGTTTTTTTTTTTTTTTTTTAATATTTTATTTATTTATTTGTCAGAGAGAGAGCAAGAGACTGAGCATAGCAGGGAGAACAGCAGGCAGAGGCAGAAGCAGGCTCCCTACTGAGCAAGGAGCCCGATGTGGGACTTGATCCCAGGACCTTGGGATCTAAGACCTGAGCCAAAGGCAGCAGCTTAACCAACTGAGCCACCCAGGCGTCCCTGCATAGGTTTAATAAAATTAATTTATTAAATGAATAAAAATGGTGGGATTATGGGTTTTTACTGTATTTTATTCTGTTTGCTTTTACATATTTCTAATTTTTAAAAAATGGAATTATGTTTGGCCATTTGTTTTTGAGTGGCTGCTATAGATGTAGTTTTCATTCGTTGAGTCTATGCTATTGTTTTTTTTTTTTTTTTTTTTTAAAGATTTTATTTATTTGTCGGGGGGAAAGAGAGAGAGAGCACAAACAGGCTGGCTGAGAGAGAAGCAGGCTCCCTGCTGAGCAAGGAGCCCAATGCAGACCTTGATCTCAGGATCCTGGGATCATGACCTGAGCTGAAGGGTCGCTTAACCAACTGAACCATCCAAGCATCCCTATGCTATTGACTTTAAAAACATTTTTTTTAATCTCATTTAATCCTCATAATAACTTCATGGATAGTTGAAAATTCCCATTTTACAGATATGGTTAGACTCAAAGAAATTACATAATGTTGCCATAGTTCACATAGTTAAGTGGCAGAACAATATTGGAAGCCAGGTTGGTTAAACTCTGATCTCCATACCCTTGACCTTTAGACCACATGTTGTCTTCAGAGACTACCAAAAAAGAAAAAAGAGTCAAACTGCTCTCAAACTATATTCCTTGTACATTGTCAGTTATATATATATATATATATAGATATATATATATCTATATATATCTATATATATATACACATATTTCAGAATAGCAGTTAAGCATCGGCTTATATTGGTATAATACTTTAAAATTGTTTTGAATGCTTGAATATGTCATCAGGTTCTCTCTGAGTAACAGTTTGAATGGCAGCACTCTCTGACAGTTGTAGCATATGTGTGTGTTTAAAGACCCAAATGAGGAATCTACTTGGGTATGCTGGGTTCTGAGCTCCAGTGTAATACTCTGTCCTTGGAGGACTTGAGCTGATATTCATCAGCTACTAAAGCTGGTAGTATATAATGTTTTGAGAAGTAGATAATTCTGTGTAGAATCCATTATAATGTTCAAGCTCTGTTTACTTTATAATAGAAAACTTCCTATACTGGATCCTGGATTGATGAAGTCAGAGATCTGTGCTTCCTTATCAGCAGGTAAAATTTGACATTTTCAAAATATACAGTTTTGAAGTATCTTTTTATATCTCTATTCGGGCCTAGTCAAAGTTAATTCATTACATAGGAAGCTCTTCATTTTAGAGTCTTAACTATATGTTTTATGGTTTGGCAGTTTTCCTCAGTTTTAGTTGCTTGGTTGGCAGATAAGATTTTGAGAAATTTTCCATTTGATTAGTTAGTAAGTAACTTTGTTAGGCATTATCTACAAAAGATAGATCATTGATCTTAGAAATTTTTGTGGCCTTATTTTGAAATGGAAATATATGTTTAGCTTTATCACATTTTAAATCTGAATTCTTACTAGAATTTTTTATAATTAATAGCTAGTCATAAGTTTAAATACCTGGATCCTTACTTCATAGGCAATATTTTGAAAGTTAATTGTATTTTAATTTTCAAGTTTTAAAAATATATTGAATGTAGCTGGACATAGGAAACATCCTTACATTTTTCTTGATATATGTCAGTTTTGTTTTACTGCCAATTCTTTTTATATCATATAATGGAGTTATTTTGAAAGAGAGGGAGGAATAATTGTATTGTTTGCTGAAACTAAAACGTTTGTCACATTGGATTTTAAAAGAGTCTCAATTCTAACTCATTTTCAGAACAATCTTTCAGTGAGTTAGTTATTTTGCTGCATAAAGTTTCTACAGTTGAATATTATTTCTTTTCAGCAAATGAAATTAAACATGATTCCAAAGGTGGAAACATTTCCTTAGAGGAAGTTACTAATGAGACCTGTGAAAGTGAAAAGCTGGGAGACTTCATTGAACACGTAAAAAGTTCAGACTTGGATGAAAAGGTACTAGGGAATTTATGTTTTGTTTTTTCCTGGTCTAAATCATGGTAATGCAGAAATTCATCTTAACAGTGCTGTCAGTAGTTCAGACTTGGATGAAAAGGTGTTGTGGAGAATCTTATTTTCTTTTCTTTTTTCTTTAAATTCAATTAGCCTGAATATAGTACATTATTAGTTTCAGATGTGTTCAGTAATTCATCAGTTGTGTATAACACCCAGTGCTCATCACATCATGTGCCCTCTTTTTTTTTTAAAGGTTCATTTTTTTTTTTTTAAGATTTTATTTATTTATTTGACAGAGAGAGATCACAAGTAGGCAGAGAGGCAGGCAGAGAGAGAGGAAGGGAAGCAGGCTCCCCGCCGAGCAGAGAGCCCGATGTGGGGCTCGATCCCAGGACTCTGGGATCATGACCTGAGCCAAAGGCAGAGGCTTTAACCCACTGATCCACCCAGGTGCCCCTCATGTGCCCTCTTTAATGCCCATCACCAGTGACCCCATTCCACCACCCTTCCTCCCCTCCAGCAACCCTCAATTTCTTTCCTATAGTTAAGAGTCTCATGGTTTTTTTCCTCTCTGATGACTTCCCATTCTGTTTTCCCTCCTTTCCTCTGTGGTCCTCTGTACTGTTTCTTATATTCCACCTATGAGTAAAACCATATGATAATTGTCTTTCTCTGATTGACTTATTTCACTTAGCATGATACCCTCCAATTCCATCTACATTGGACCAAATGATAAGTATTCATCCTTTCTGATGGCTCAGTAGTAGTCTACTGTATATATGAACTACATTTTTATCCATTCATCTGTCGATGGACATCTAGGCTCTTTTCCACAGATTGGCTATTGTAGGCATTGCTGCTATACCCTTTGGATCACTACATTTGTATCTTCGAAGTAAATACCTGTTCTGAAAATGAGTTAGAATTGAGACTCTTTTAAAATCCAATGTGACAAACGTTTTAGTTTCAGCAAACATTGTTGGGTCATAGGGTAGCTCTATTTTTAACTTCTTGAGGAACCGCCATGCTGTTTCCCAGAGTGGCTATAGCAGCTTGCGTTCCCTTTCACCACATCCTCACCACAGCTGTTTCCTGAGTTGTTAATTTTAGCCATTCCTGATTGGTGTGAGATGGTATCTCATTGTGGTTTTGATTTGTATTTTGCTGATGCCAAGTGATGTGGAGCATTTGTTCGTGTATCTCTTAGCCATATGTCTGTCTTCTTTGGAGGAATGTTTGTTCATGATTTCTGCCCATTTCTTGATTGGATTGTTTTTTTGGGTGTTGAGTTTGTTAAGTTCTTTAGAGACCTTGGGTACTAGCCCTTTATCTGATACGTCATTTGTAAATATCTTCTCCCATTTTGTAGGTTGCCTTTTAGGTTTGTTTCCTTTGCTGTGCAGCAGCTTTTTATCTTGATGAAGTCCCAAAAGTTTGTTTGCTTTTGTTTCCCTTGCCTTTGGAGACGTGACCAGACAGGTGTTGCTGCAGACGAGGTCAAAGAAGCTGCTGCCTATGTTCTCCTCTAGGATTTTGATGGATTTTTGTCTCATATTGAGGTCTTTCATCCATTCTGAGTTTATCTTTGGGTATGTTGTAAGAGAATGGTCCAGTTTCATTCTGCATGTGGCTGTCCATTTTCCCAGCACCATTTATTGAAGAGATTGTCTTTTTTTCCATTGGATATTCTTTCCTGCTTTGTGGAAGATTAGTTGAACATAGGGTCCATTTCTGGGGTCTCTCTTCTGTTCCACTGATCTATGTGTCTGTTTTTGTGCTAGTACCATACTGTCTTGACAATTACAGCTTTGTAATGGAGCTTGAAGTCAGGAATTGTGATGCCACTAGTTTTGGTTTTCTTTTTCAGCATTCCCCTAGCTATTCAGGGTCTTTTCTGGTTCCATACAAATTTTAGGATTATTTGGTCCAGCTCTGTGAAAAATGTTAATGGTATTCTGATAGGGTTTGTATTACTGCATATGACCTATGTATAGATTGCTCTGGGTAGCTAGACATTTTAATGAAACTGTTCTTCCAATCTGTGAGCATGGAATGTTTTTCCATTTGTTTGGTCTTCCTCAATTTCTTTCATAAGCGTTCTGTAGTTTCCTGAGTACAGGTCCTTTACCTCTTTCACTGGTTTTATTCCTAGGTATCTGTGGTTTTTGGTGCTATTGTAAATGGATTCTATTCCTTAATTTCTCTTCCTTCAGTCTCATTGTTAGTGTATAGAAATGCAACTAATTTCTGTGCCTTGATTTTGTATCCTGCCATGTTGCTGAATTGCTGTCTGAATTCTGTCACTTTTGGGGTAGATAGTCTTTTGGGTTTTCCACATAAAATAATCATGTCATTTGCGAAGAGTGAGAGTTTGACTTCTTTGCCAACTTGAATGCCTTTTATTTCTTTTTGTTGTCTGATTGCTGAGGCTAGGACTTATAGTACTATGTTGAACAGAGTGGTTAGAGTGAGCATCCAGTTGTGTTCTTGATCTTAGGGGAGATGCTCTCAGTTTTTCCCCATTGAGAATGATATTTGCTGTGGGCTTTTCATAAATAGTTTTTATGATATTGAAGTAAGTTCCCTCTATCTGCACACTGTGGAGAGTTTTAATCAAGAAAGGATGCTGTATTTTGTCAAATGCTTTTTCTGCATCATTTGAGAGGGTCATATGGTTCTTGTCCTTTTTATTAATGTGGCATACCACATCGATTGATTTGTGAGTGTTGAACCATCCTTGCTGCCCAGGAATAAGTATACTTGATCATGGTGAATAATCCTTTTAATGTCCTGTTGGATCGTATTGGCCAGTATCTTGGTCAGGATTTTGGCACCCATATTCATCAGGGATATTGATCTGTAATTCTCTTTGGTGGGGGCTTTGGCTGGTTTGGGGGTCAAGGTAGTGCTGTCTCCATAGAACGAGTTTGGAAGGTTTCCTTCCATTTCTGTATTTTGAAGCTGTGGAGATTCTTTCACATTTTCTTATTTCTTGTTCTGAATAGTTGTAATACAGATCATAACAGTATGGCCAGGTGATAAGTATAACTTTTTGAGTAAAAGAATTGCATCATTCTGCCCGTAGGATATATTGTTTGATGCTTTGTATAAGCACACTATTAACAGGTTTCCTTTGTCTGGGAAAGTGGGATGTTTAATTATGTATTTAGCCTTTTCTTTTTTAGTATGCTTAAGTTGATCTCAAACCTACATAAATATAACTTGTTACATATTTTCCTGCCTCATTAAACACAGAGTACTGAATATCATTTGATCTTGAAATTGAAGAATATCATAGTATCCGAGGGCTATGAATGCATGCAGCAGTTATTTAACCACAGATATAGAAGGCATAGGAGTTGGAGCTAAACCTGACTTGATGGTGGAACATACCACTAGCATATGATACAGGGAAAAATTCAGATACCAAATTTATTCTTGTTTTCTGCTAGAAAATGTGTGTGATTGTTTTAACCTTTTGCATAATTTAATTTACTCCTAGGCAACTATTTCATATTTTCTTTTTTCTCATTATTCCTTCTTATTCATCCTCACAGCTGACAATCTATTTTTCTACTTCACCAAAAAAATTGAAGTAACTGGAAAGGAACTTCCTACTTCCCTGCCAGTATATTAGCCATCCTAACCTGCATCTGCTCCCCAAATTCCAGCTTCTCCTCAGTTACAGTAGATGATCTAGCCAAGGTTATTCCTTCCACCTGTGTGCCAAAGTCCATCTCTTTCCTCTCTTAAAATACTACTCCAGTAATAATTCTTTTATTATTGGCTTATTTTCATCAATATATAAACATGTGGTTCTCCCATCTTCAAACAAAACAAAACCAAACAAAACAAAATGGTTTCATAGTCCCATTTATCTTTTCAGCTGTCATCCTGTTTCTCAAATGCTTATCTTTATCCACCATCTCTAGTTTCTGTCCTCTGGTTCTCTTGAACTCATTCCAAAGATACTTCCCTTCACTGCAACCAAAACTATCCTTAAACTCTCCAGTGACCTCCTTGTTGCTGGGTCTAATGGACATTATCTTAGTCTCAATGTTACTTAACCTATCATCATTATTTGTCACAGTCGATCACACTTTCTTTGAAACCCTGACTTTCAGGATAAACATACATGCCTGGTTTATTTTCTCCCTTTCTGTCTGCAACTTCCCAGTGATTTTGCGGATCTTTCTTGATATCCCTGACCTCTACGTATTGTAGTGGCCCAGAGCCTAGACCACGATGTGTTCTTTCTTATCTAGATTAGCTCATTAGGTGGTCCCATCCAGCCTCATTGCATTAAATGCCATCATTGTGATAAGACGCTCAAATTTAAAACTGCAGCCTGCACTACTTCTCTGAACAGACCTTATCTAGATTAGCTCATTAGGTGGTCCCATCCAGCCTCATTGCATTAAATGCCATCATTGTGATAAGACGCTCAAATTTATAACTGCAGCCTGAACTACTTCTCTGAACAGATCTTTATGTCTAGTTGCCTACTGGACTTGTCCATTTAGATGTCCAGTTAGGCATCTCAAGCTTAACATGTTCAGTCTGAATTCCTGAAACATCTATATACAGCCTACCAGATACTCATTTCAGATGTAACTGCACATAAAGACTGAAAGCAAAGAGATGGAAAAAGATGTTCCATGCAAATGGAAACAAAAAGCTAGTGTAGCTATACATATATCAAACAAAACAGACTTTAAAACAGAATAATTAAAGACAAAGAGAGGCAATACATAATGATAATCAATCCAGCAAGAAAATATAACATGTGTAAATGTATATGCACCTAAAATAGGAGCACTGGAATATGTAAAATCTTGTTGTAAAATCATCAGGATTGGAAATCAGTAAGGAAACCTATTAAGTGACATATTTAAGACCAGATGAACTTAATACATATATATGGAACATTCCATCTAAAAGCATCAGAATATACATTCTTCTCAAGTGCACACAGAACATTCTTTAGGATAGGTAATGTGTTAGGCCACAAAGCAAGTCTCAATAAAAGCATGAAAATTTAAAT